CAAAATCACTTCAAACAGCAGGGTGCTATGTCAACGCTCCCTCATTGTTCAACCTTGAACATTGTGGCACCCTGTCAGCACTGTCCCTCTGACAGAGCAGTGTTCCCTCAGTGTCTATGCTCTGATGTATTAACATCTGAGGAAGAGGCATGGCTTCCCCTTGAGACTTTTCACAATACTTGAGGACCATCGCTGTTCTTCTATGTCCACTGTGCCCAGATCCTTTGATTCCCTGCCAGATCAATGATCCCTCAATGACTGAGCTTTGATGGCTCTCTGGGGTTCAGAATTCCAAAAATTCACAACCCTCTGTGCGAAGCCATTTCTCCTCGCTTCAGTCCAAAATGGCTGACTCCTTGGCATGAGTCTGTGACCCCTGTCACCCTGTTCCAAACTCTCCACTGGGTGTTTGGGGAGCAAGCGGGAAGCCGCTTCTCAGCACTGACTTTGTGAGAGCTTCTCCGAATTGTGACACTGCTCCCTTCTGTCCTGACATCAGAAGTGTTAGGCCTGGACTTTGGGACTTCAGTCCTTTGACTGGGAGCTCAGAGCCTCGATGGGGGACAATACCAGGGTCAGTGGAGACTGGTTCCAGGATTGTACACTAAAATGTTGCAAGTATATGTAACACAAAGAGGGAGGGAATCGGCTTACACCAAAATGTCTCAGGCGTCGTCGATCATTGCGCAGTAAATTGGAAGGAGAGCACGCATCAAGTATAGAGGACATCACCTGTTGGAACAAGAACAACAAGTTAGACAATGGACACCACTTCCTGGCACTCAGGCAGCAGGAAAAGAGGTGTGCAAGGGCAGCTCGATCACTGGATCCCAACCTTTGCAGTATCAAGGCACACTTCAATGTGACAAGCAGTTGCACAGGACACTCACCTTTGTGGTTGGTTCGCTCGCCGAGCTGGTTCATTCGTTTGCAGACGTTTCATTACGCTGTTGGGTAACAATGGAGAACCACCAGTTCGAGTGGGACAATGTCAGGATCCTAGGACAGGCCAAACAGAGACAACCACGGGAATTCCTAGAGGCCTGGTTCTCCACCAAGAAGGTCATCGATAAACACATAGAACTAGACCCTATATATACACCACCGCAAAGAAAATTCGGAAATGAGATAATCAACTCCAACAGACCCCAGAGTTTAAATAGCAAGCGGGAAAATACAACAACATTTCATCGGAGGCTGCACTGATGATGTTACCCAGCAGGGTAATGAAATGTTACCCAACAGGGTAATGAAATGTCTGCAAACTAATGAACCAGTTTGGCGAGCGAATCAACCACAGCATCCACAACCTGAGCTACAAATCTACTCAAGAATATTGGACACTCACTTTTACCATCTCGCATATGCAGTATCAGAAGTCTATGCATGTGTGCCCTGGAGGCTTGAGTATGTATAGTCAATAGAGATGCCAACAGTCAAAAGACAGTACCTTCAATAACAGGCACCGAGGCTCCAGATGAGATTGGAAGCAGGGATACATCCCTAACGTTCAGGTAAAGCAGTGCGTCTTCCTGGTATTGTCACAGCACACTTCCCACTTGTGCTGAAAATCACTGAACTCTGTAACCTCCTCCAGCCCCTACACCCCCTCCCCATCTCTGTAACCTCCCCCGGCCCCTACACCCCCTCCCCATCTCTGTAACCTCGCCCGGCCCCTACACCCCCTCCCTGTCTCTGTAACCCCTTCCAGCCCCTACACCCTCTCTCTGTAACCCCTTCCAGCCCCTACACCCCCTCCCTGTCTCTGTAACCTCCTCCAGCCCCTACACCCCCTCCCTATCTCTGTAACCTCCTCCAGCCCCTACACCCAATCTGTGTAACCCCTTCCAGCCCCTACACCCTCTTCCTGTAATTCCCTCCAGTGCCTACACCTATCAAAGACAATTTGATCCCAAAAACATTTTTTTTGTCTTTATACCCAGAAGATTACACACAACTGAATGGTTTAATTTTTCCGTCACAAAATCACCCAACGTCCAAATCCTTCCATATTCAATGTTAACAAACCATAACAATGTGATTGACAGTGTACCAATTGTTGACATTTTGATGACTTGTTAACAATTCTCCCAGCTTCTGAAAGAGCTCCTCCTCCCCATTTTGGCCCAGATTTCTGTTTTCCTATACTTTCCTCCAGGGCTTGTAACCATTGACAGGGAAGAGTTGTTCTGACCACATCAGGTCAGCAAAGACAGGTATAACTGTTCATTTCTCTTTCAGTAATGCTTCTTTACTCTCCTGTTCGCAACAATCCTCACCCTTTCATATATCTGCCTGTGAAAAGACTCACAAAGGCCTTCGGCAAAATAGATCCTAGAGTAGCAGGAAGACTTCAGAGCAAGAGATAGTAGGAACTGCAGATGCTGGAGAATCTGAGATAACAAGGTGTAGAGCTGGATGAACACAGCAGGCCAAGCAGCATCAGAGGAGCAGGAAAGCTGATGTTTCGGGCCCAGATCCTTCTTCAGAAGTCATTATCCTCCTCACAGTTAATCACGATTGCAGAATTTGAAACTGAGCCCTGTTTGCCTGAGTTTGGGTCTTTAATATGCATCATGAAGATCCTGGCCCGTGGCAAACCCCATTCTAATTCCTACCACAGTCGGGACATCAACAACTTAGCACTGCTCTCTGCTACTTCAGAAGAAGGGTCTAGGCCCGAAACATCAGCTTTCCTGCTCCTCTGATGCTGCTTGGCCTGCTGTGTTCATCCAGCTCTACACCTTGTTATCTCAGACTTCACAGCAACGTTTCTTCCTCAATGCCCCAGCACGAGATTTGGAATATGTTTAAATGAGATGATCCTCTGAGGTGTGGTGGGCTGGATCCATCATACTACCAATTACCATGCAGCAACCTCCTTACCATGAAATCAACCTTCCTTTCCAGTGCAGGGTACCCAGACAACTGAGTGCTCACTCAATACACATCTATTTTTAAAATATATCTTTAGTTAATCTGTGTCCCTTTGGTTCTCAATCCTTCTGCCAATGGGAACAGATTCTCCCTCTCAACTCTGTCCAGATCTCTCAGGATTTTGAACACCTCGACCAAATCTTCTCTCGAGCTTCACTTCTCTGAGGAGACCAGGCGCAGCTTCTCCAAACTGTCCTTCAATTCCTGCACTTCCTTTATTTTACATTGTCACTCCATATCCTTCCTTACAACAAAATGAGTCATTTCACACTTCTGTTTCAACTAAATTCCTAAAGTCACATGTCTTCCCACTTCCCCTGCCTGTCAATGTTCTCCTGAAGTCATTATCCTCCTCACAGTTAATCACGATTGCAGAATTTGAAACTGAGTCCTGTTTACTTGAGTTTGGGTCTTTAATATACATCATCAAGATCCTGGCCCCTGGCAAACCCCATTCTAATTCCTAACACAGTCGGGACATCAACAACTTAGCACTGCTCTCTGTTTCTTCTCACTCAATCAACTTCATATCCACACCACCATTGTCCATTTTATTCTCGGGGCTCGAGCTTTGTTGACAAGCCTGTTTCCTGGGACTATATCAAATGCCTTTTGGGAATTCACGTGAACCACACCAACAGCATGACTCTCATCAAACTCCTTGTTACCTCTTCAAAGACTCCAGGAAGTCATTTAAACCTCAATTTACCATTAACAAACCCTACATGTCTTTCTTTAATTAACCCACCACTTAATAGTCTCTTCCTTTCATTGCACCCACAATGCTGCATAGAAACAGAAAACAGGAGCAGTAGTAGGCCATTCGGACCTTCGAACCTTCTCCACCAGTCATTATGATCATCCAACTCAGTCCCCAGTTCCTGCTTTCTTCCCATATCTTTTGATCCCTTCACTCCTAAGAACTATATCACTCCTCCTAATGTTTTGGGCCTGATTCGCTTCCTGTGGCAGATAAGTCCACAGGCTCACTACTCTCTGGGTGAAGAAATTCCTCCTCATTTTAGTCCTAAATTGCTCACCTTAGACTGTGGCTCCCTGGTTCTGGACTCTCTGCTCATCAGGAATATCCTTCTTGTCTTTACCCTGTCTGGTCATGATAGAATTTTATAGGTATGCATTAGACACCCCCCTACCCCTGACCATTTTTCTAAATCCCAGTAAGTACAGTCCTAACCGATTCAATCTCTCCTCATACGTCAGTCCTGCCACCCCACAAATCAGTCTGGTAAATCTTCGCTGCACTCCCTCCATTACCAGCAGCTCCTTCCTCAGATGCGGGAGACCCAAACTGCACACAATACTCCGGGTGTGGTTTTCTGCAATGCCCTGTACAATTGCAGCAAGCCATCCCTGCTCCTGTACACCAATCCTCTCGCTATTAAGGCCAAAATGCTGTTTGCCTTCTTTGCTGCCTGCTGCACTTAAATTCAGTCACTAGTGTATAAGGACACCCAGGTCTCATTGCACCTTCCCCTTTCTCAATACATTACCATTCAGATAATAATCTGAACTGTTGTTTTTGCTACCAAAGTGAATAACCTCACATCTATCCACATCATACTGCAGCTGCCATGCATACGCTCACTCACTCACCTTGTTAAAACCAGATTGGAGCTTTTCTGTATCATCCTCTCAGTACACCCTCCCACCCAGATCTACTCATTTACAAAACGAGTTGCTAGGTTTCAACTCAGAGACATTAAGGGACCAGCAACACAAGTCACGATGGTGTATGGTTTGGAGGCAAACTCGCAGGGGCTGGTGTTCCCACATACTTGCTGCTCTTGTTCTTCTAGATGGCAGAGGTTGTGGGTTTGCAAGGCATCGTCAAAGAAGGCTTGATGAGTTGCTGCGCTGCAGTGCATCTTGTAAACGATACGCACTGCCACCCCTCCATGCCAGTGGTGTTGAACATGAATGCAATTATCAGTGAACATCCCCACTCCTGATGTTCTGATGGATGGAAGGTCATTGATGAAGCAGCTAAAGATGATTGGGCCAATACTGCATCCTGGGGAACTCCTGCTGAGATGTCCTGGAGCGGAGGTGACTGCCCTCCAGCAACCAGAACCATCTTCCTTTGTGCCAAGTATGACTCCAACCGGCAGAGAGGTTTCCACTAATTCCCATTGATTCCAGTTTTGCTAGGCCCCTTGATGCCACACTCTATCAAATTCGGCCTTGCTGTCAAAGGCACCTCCCTCTGGAGTTAAGATCTTTTGTCCAGGATTGGACATCTGTTTGGCTGCTGCAAGAATCCTATTCCCTTGTATACTAGCCCTCTAGATATAATCAGTAGCCTTCCAGAATTTTTGACCCTTTACCTTCTATCTCTGACCCCCAAACATCATTTAAATCCTTACTTCCTATCCCCGACACTCCCCACTGTGCTCCCCTGACTCCATTCTAACTCTCACACTGATGTGATGAAAGATGTGTGATTTACATCGGTTTTAAAGTTTGGACTTCAAACTAATGGTCTTTGGGTTTTGGTTAATTCTGTGAAGGCTCGAGAAACAAACCAAGATTAAATGTCTTTCCCAAATGGTGACCTAATTCCGTATGTGACAAAGTGTAGGTAATTGCAAACCCTCACAGTGTCAATGAAAGACTGACTATTTACACTACAGGGTTTACAGCCAGGAGTAAACATTGAAAGGCATCAGCTTGTTTCAAGGAACAATTTTAGCTTAGGCCAGTTTTGGAAGATAATTCACTGGGGTCAGAATAGATAGAGTTTCTCTCCGAGAAAGGAGCGTGGAAGAGTTCAAGGA